CCTTCTTGAATCTTATTTTGAAGAACAACTGCATTCAATTCTATAGTAAATTCAACACACTATTATTGCTAGTACTGAATGGGATTTAAACGTTTAGAGAGAATGCTTAGATTGTATTAGTATTAATTTAGCCCCCGCAGTGGCACGGTGGTATGTCTACGAACTTACAACGCTACAAACCGGGTTTCGATATCTTGATGGGCAGCACACAGATATCCCGTTGTGTAGTTTTGTGCTTAGCTTCAAACAAAATATTAATTTTTATCTTAATAATGAAACAGTAAACGTTGTAAGGACATCGAGACTATATTGTACGATATTATTATTATTAAGTAGTATCGCATGACTTCATTACTTAGGAGAGTGGTAAGTTAACGGGATTTGAATCCTCGAGGTGGACACAGCATATAGTCCAACATGGATTTGCTCTTAAACAAATCAATTTCATTACTTAAGATAAATTAGCACCCAGTAACATTAGTTCTTATAGTTACCTCTACTGATGTGTTAGTATTTATTAGATAAATTAGCATCCAGTAGTATTAGTTCTTGTAGTTACCTCTACTGATGTGTTAGTATTTATTAGATAAATTAGCATCCAGTAGTATTAGTTCTTGTAGTTACCTCTACTGATGTGTTAGTATTTATTAGATAAATTAGCATCCAGTAGTATTAGTTCTTGTAGTTACCTCTACTGATGTGTTAGTATTTATTAGATAAATTAGCATCCAGTAATATTAGTTCTTGTACTTACGACTACTGATGTGTTAGTATTTATTACATAAATTAGCATCCAGTAGTATTAGTTCTTATAGTTACCTCTACTGATGTGTTAGTATTTATTAGATAAATTAGCATCCAGTAGTATTAGTTCTTATAGTTACCTCTACTGATGTGTTAGTATTTATTAGATAAATTAGCATCCAGTAGTATTAGTTCTTGTACTTACCTCTACTGATGTGTTACTATTTATTAGATAAATTAGCATCCAGTAGTATTAGTTCTTGTACTTACCTCTACTGATGTGTTACTATTTATTCGATAAATTAGCATCCAGTAGAAAGGATACAGCGCTTTGTTCTAGAAAAATACTGCAGTATATAACTATTTATTAAACAATTTCACATCAACGATGGTTTATAAAAGCGATTCTGGTTTTCACCACTGAGGAAATTTCTTTTTTCTTGATGATCTATTGTTTTGTGTCAAAGACCATCATTTATGTAACTTAGAGAAAAAATTTGTAATACAGTGTATTACATTCTTGCTGAATTTTAAAACATATCAGACATGTATGGAGATTGACCACTAATTTGATATAGAAATATTTCTAATATAAATAATTTGTTTCGAATATTCACGCGAAGTTACAAAAGGACTACGTGCGCTAACAGTCCCTAATTCTGAACTGATAGACTAGCATTGTATAGTAGAGAGTTAATTACTGTTTCATCAAACAGAGTTTTCTGTTAGTTGTGTTAGTGGTTTGAAATTGAATATAAACCTTTAAAGCACGATATTTAAGAGCTATATGTGTATTTTATTCATGTAGTACTTAAAAAGCACGAATTGGATATATCTTCCGAAAGCCGTCACGCTAACTACTAGACCACGTCCTCAATATATGCAAATATCTATAGTCATTCCGAACAACGACAAATCAATTATAAAACATTGACTTCCAAACAAAGTAATACAACTGAGAGAAATGAAGATTTAATGTGTGTAAACAGACATCAAACAACTTCTTCTACACATATAGTTAAGTTGAGGAAGAGAAGACAAAAATGATAAGTAAACAATCCTTGAAGGTGTAAACATTAATTAGATACATAAGTGATTATATTGATGAGTTGAGTGATAAATAGTAACACATCAGTAGACGTAAGTACAAGAACTAATAAAATCCCCCAGCGAAAGTTAAGTACAAAAAAATGTCTGTTTCCAAATCATATATTTTGTCAATTGAAAACTTGCCTACACTTAACGTACAAGTTACCTTTTAGTAAAGTTTTCTTTAACCTGCCATTAATTAAAAGTCGTATTTATGTATACATCACTTATTGTATTTACTATAGGTAAAGACCCTTGGTGGGACATCAGTAATTTTACGGACTTACAACGCCAAAATTCGGGGTTCGGTTCCCCAAGGTAGACACATCAGATAACCTAATGTGGCTTTAATCTAAAACAAATGAACAAAGTCTCTTTCAGTTTAGTATAGGTTCAAAATGAACAGTAATTAATGAATATAATTCATACGTGAAAAGTTTTGTTTGTTTGTTTGAAGTTAAGCACAAAGCTATCCAAAGGGCTATTTGTGCTCTGCCCAGCACGGGTATCGAAACCCGGTTTCTAGCATTGTAAGTCCGCAGACATACCGTTGTGAAAAGTACAGTAAAATATATAAAATTAAAAAAGATTATAGGTAGTTCAAGAGAAGATGAAACAAATGTCCATCCAGTAACACTGCAGTAAATCGATCCACACCTAAACATAAAATTCAAATGAAGATATAGAACATCATTTCCTGCATATTACTACACTTCTATTGTTCAGATAAATGTTTCTACTTAGACCAAACAATGATAAACATCTACAGATAACACTATCATAAATGATTTATTAGAACAAATAATTAATTTTGTTTCGTTCCACGTTTATTAGCTCTGAACCTAACAGTCTTCTGCAGGATGACAAAGCACTATGTTACTTTAGTACTTGATCACCAGATGGCATCTTCTGTGCAGTTACAGAGGGAATCACCCTCTTATGGAGCAGAGGGTGGAATTGTCTCTTGGACAAATGCAGAGGTTTAAATAACATAAGAAAGGGTGACTCGGTATAAACAGTATCTCTCACAAGAAGGAAAGACTGTAATTTATGTATATGTGATAAAGATAAATGCAGTTGTAAGTAAGAACCTGGAAAAGTCCTGCTGTATTAAACTGTATAAGCATAGAAACTTAAAACAGGAGTGACAGTTTCTTCTTTTTTTAATATATATATATATTATATATAACAATGTTTTAATTAACTTTGTTGTATAACCATTGTTAGCAGAAATCTGTTTTATTGTTTTAATTCAGTTTCATTACCTTCCGATGACAAGGGTACAGTGATAAGTCTGTGTAACAAACTATGGAACACGGCAAGTGTATTATTATACAAAGCATGATAAATATTGGTATAGATATTCTGATGACGTGATTTGTCTCTGGACAGGATCCAGATGTCAACTCTGAATTTAGAAAATAAATTTATTAAATTTACTATGGAGTTTGGTGAAAACGGAAACATTAATTTTATGGAGTTAAATATTGACATAAATAATGGTACACATTCCTTCAAAATCTTCAAAAACCGACTTATTGTGACACCATCATATATGCTTCTTCAAGACATCCAGTATCTCACAAACTTGCCATTAATTTAAAATCAACATGTCCACATACTGTACCTCAAACAGGACGTTCCATAGAAACGAGAATTAAAGAACATTCTAGAAGCTGGAAATTAAGGAAGTGGATTCAACCTTTGTATCCCACCTTACAGAAACTAAACACCAATATGATACAGAAAAAGAAATCCAAAAATTTTACATATCTGTGAAAAAATTTAAAAACTAGACAGTATGGAAATTTTAGAGATAAATAGAAGTCTAAAAACAAATCCACAAAAAGTTCCAAACGACCAAACCAACTTAAGTTCCTCCCCACTTGTCTCTAGGTAAATATCAAGGTAACTTCCGGTTCTTTGTTTAAACACATAAATAAACCTGTTTACAAACCATTTCAGTCTCTGTCTGATGATGCCTTTACTGGTGAAACCATGGTGGTAATAAATGGTATACTTGTGAAACGTACACATGTCTTGTTTTTTCTCAATTATAATATGATGGAGTTTTACCAAGTACCGACGGTTTCAAG